AAATTTTATTTTGAAATAATGTCTTAGGTTATCCAGGCTGACCTTGAACTTACTCTGTAGCTCAGAATGGCCTTCAGCTCAAGATCCCCTTGTTTCCCCACTCTTGCACCCACCACCTCCCTGGAGAGAAGGTTTGGGGAGCTTTTAGTGGATTGCTAAGGTTAAGTGAGATCCTATCATGGGCCTCATGGAGGTGGTGGTGAAAACAGGGCTAGTGATGTCCTTGTAAGAACACAGAGATACACAGAGACCTCTCCCCTACACACCCAGGAAGGCTGAGTGAGGACAGGGAGAAGCAGTCTGCGTGCTGGGCAGGGAGCCCTTGACAGAAGCCTGGCTTACAGGCTTCTTGAGCTCATGCCTGGCTCCCAGAGCAATGAGGAAGTTAGTTTCCGCTGCCCAGGACCCCAGATACCACAGTCGGGTGCTTAAGACTGTGTGTGAAGGAGTGTGGCATTCCAAGACCCTGTGTGGTCCCTCTTGGACCTGCACTGATTGCTGACCCTGCATCAAAGCTGTTGAAGACTCAGTAACTAATCGTTAAGGGGATCCAACACCCTTTGTGGGAATCCACACACACGTGGTATACACACACACACACACACACTCACACACACACACTTTATTTTCTTTTGTTCATTTTTTTAGAGAGCAAGGTCTCACTATTCATGCCTGGCTGTCCTAGAATTTACTCTGTAGACCAGGCTGGCCTTAAAATCATAGAGAGATCCGCCTGCCTCTGCCTCCTGCATGCTGGGATTAAAGGTGTGTGCCAGCATTCCTGGAAAAGTCTTGACGTGTGACTCAGTGTTTGCCCAGCATATGGCTTCCTAAACTTTTCTACTCACAATCCCTTTTTACCTGAGAAATGGACACATGAATCTAGTATGTAGATACACAAATCATACACTAGCTGGTCGTAAACCATAAGGGAATTTCAAAACAACTCTTTGGTATGCATAATAATAATTTCACCATTTTTAAAAGATGAACTCACTGCAGGACACAAAGTCTCCTGTATTGTCCTGAGTCACTTGGAGCAGTTACTTCAGAATCAGTTTCACTTGAATACACAGTTCAAAATGGCAGAAGCATGTTTGGGAGTGTTGAGAACTTGCTGGAAATTCTGACCTAATCTCAAGCCAGTATTCATTCAATAATTTATTATTTTTAGATTATGTGTATGTGTGTGGGTATGTGCATGTCCATGCAGGTACCCACGGAGGCCAAGAGACATGAGATGCACTGGAATAGAGTTAAGGTGGTTATGAGCCACCTGATATGGGCGCTGGGAACCCAACTCGAGTCCTGCTACAGCAGTACACCTTTTTTTTTTTTTTTTGGAGGGGAAGGGGGGTGTCAAAACAGAGTTTCTCTATGTTTCTCTATTTATCCTTGACTGTCCTGGAAATCAATTTATAGACCAGGCTGGCCTGGAACTCACAGAGATCCTCTTGTCTCAACCTCCAGAATGCTGGGATTAAAGGCATGTGGCCACCATGCCCAGCAGCAGTATACACTTTTAACCACTAAATCATTTTCCCAGCTTCCCCTCAAACAAGTTTAAAAATAAACAACATAATACAATCCAAAGACATGCTTAGGAATAATAGTAGGAAAACAATAAAAGTTCTTATTTTCCCGTAATTAAACCACTATGTTTTCATAAATTCTGAGAACTTTGTAAGGATGGTCAACACTGCAGAGCACACCTATGGCAGTCTGGTCTGAGAGACAAGGCACACGGTTCATAGGTGCTAAGTGGGTAGCAACCAAGGCACACGCTGCAAATGCTGTGCCCTTGGAACCAAGGCTCCAGTAAAGTCAGAGTGTAGCCCAGGCGAGCACTGTCAGAAATGCTTCCGATTTGTGATCTATTTGATTTGAATTAGTTTTTGGTCTTTGCACATTCAGACAGTTGATGAAGAGCTAGCAACTTTTTCACTACCCGGACTTCAGTTGTGAGGCTACAACCCATGGTGTGAGAAGCTGGCTTCCCTGGCTCGCAGAGCCTTGGTCCATCCTTAGCACTCAAGGGAAGAAGAACCAGGCATGCGCACACAGTTCCAGCCTTAAGAAAGCTAGAGTAGCCGGGCGGTGGTGGCACACATCTTTAATTCCAGCACTCGGTAGGCAGAGGCAGGCGATCTCTGAGTTTAAGGCTAGGCTAGTCTACAGAGCAAGTTCCAGGACAGCCAGGGCTACACAGAGAAACCCTGTCTTGAAAAACAAACAAAAAAGAAAGCTAGAAAGGCTGGGTGGGTGTGATTCCTCGGACTGCAGAAGCAGCAGCTGCTGAGGGAGGCTGAAGTCACTTGAGCCCAGGAATTCACAAAATCCTGGACATCAGAGTAGAGCCATGTCACAAGGTAATAGAAACAGGTGTAGTACACACACTTGCAATCCCAGCTTACGGGAGACTGAGACAGGAGGACTGCTGTGACTGTAAGGCCAGCTTGGGCTACTACAAACTAAGCCTCAGAATGACTCTGTAATTAATTCCACTTATTGTACACTTGGGTGGTTTGGGGGCTGGGGGTACAGGTCACAGATAGAATGAATGCTTAGCATTCGGGAGATACTAGATTCTATCTGTACACCAGAAGAAAACCCATGTTTTAAATATGTCATATTTTGTATATATAGGAGTTTCACTCATGTGTTTGTGCACCCTCTCGGTGCCTGATGTCCTCGGGGGTCTGAAGAGGGCACTGGATCCCCTAGATTCGAGTTACAGGTGATTGTGAGCCGTCATATGGGTGCTGGGAGCTGACCGATCCTGTGCAGGAGCCGGTCCTCTTGACCTTTGAGCCCTCTCTCCAGCCCTATGTTGCAATTAAAAAACAAACAAACAATGATCCCTCTGCCTGCTGGTAGCCTAGAGTATTTGGACAAAAGGGAACCATGGGGACAGACTCCTGCCTCACTCCTGAGCTGGGACAGGGTGAGGAAGAACAAGCAAGGGTCTGGGGCTTCTGAGATCTGGACCTGGAAGGTGGCTGCCACTGGTGGGTAGGAGGGCTTTTTTGTGGTCTGGTCCTGCTAGAGAGTACACTTGTAGCCTCCTTAGGTCATGAGCTGTATGCAGACTCCCTCTGGGGTCTCTGCATCATGGATGCAGCCTTGGGGAGGAGAGCCCCCCGTAATTACTTCCCACCTGAAGAGGTTCTAAGTGGAGGCTGTTGGTCTTACAGCAGTCTAATAGTTTGCCTCCCTGAGGGAGTGGGGCTGGGGAGGTGGTGGAATACCTATAGGTCTGGCCTAGATTGTTTCAAACTGACTCAACTTTGGGGACCTGGACCCACATGGGGCAGGCAGGGGCTTCTAGAGCCTCCTGTGAGGGCAGTGAACCAGCCTTTGCAGTTGCATTTCCTCCTGCCTCTGAGGCTAGCTCAGCTGCAAAGAAAGCTCCGGAAGAGGCGGGTGAAAACTGCCGGGACCGCCTGGGATGTAGAGGTGGGTGAGTGCCAGGGAGGTTCCGTCTTCAGTACAGAAGTGACCTGCACTGTCTCAGGCCACCCATGTCTGGGCAGGATGAGGGAAGATGGTCGCTAGCCTGGCGGTGAGAAGAGAGATGGCCATGGCTGGCACACAGGGGACCGGACAAACCTTGAGGGGGTTACTGACAGATTGCCACGTGGGAAGGCCACTTCAGGGGTGGCTTGTAGCAGGAGTTAAAGGATGAGCGGATGGTGAGTTTATGGCACAGGATCAGGGACAGTTGTCCTCAGTCTGAGCCCCAAGTAAGAAGCCTGTACCTGGGAATCATGGGAGACCGTCTCAGACAGTGCTTGGAAGCTGGGAGCTTAAGGGAGCGGGGGGAGGGGCGGGGGGGCAGAGAGGTGGGGTTGACAGGCCAGCAGAGTGACACCTGAGGAGTAGAAGGAAGCTGAGCCTGAGCCTCATCCCACATCCCTTAGCTCTGGTGAGGGAGGGGCAGAGGGGACTATACACAGAGGTAGACCTGCCTTGGAAGGGAGTGGATAGGTCTGAGATTCAGTCAACAAATAGAATTTCTCAGTATGTAGGGCCTGCTCTAAAAGTTGGGTGTGGTGGTCATGAACCAAGCACTCTAGATCCCCAGATGGGCAGTTTCCTAACCAGATAGACAGTTACATCTGAGCAAAAGGACAGCCAGCCCTGTGGATAACTCAGGAGCTGAAGCTGCAGCAGAGGGAAGGACACATGAAAGGCTGGGCAGGGCCCAGGTGGAGCAGAACAGGGACGGGTCGTTGGTAGGTGGTTTCTCAAAGACTTTAAAATGGGAGGAGCAGGACAGAGGCTGTGTTGGGGGATCCCAGACAGGAAAGAAGAGACTTAGAACATACTGGATTGGAGTGGAAGGGGCAGGCTAGGTGACAGTGGTGGGGTGAGGGTAGGACATGGTGCTTCCGCTATTATCAGGTGAGGTAATAGGCCCTGAGAATGCAGAGGGTAGCGGGGGAACAGCAAGTCAGAACTGAGGTCCTGGAAGAAGCTCATGACACCATGATCCCAACTTCCTCTCCTCAGCACTCCTCCCACTCCGCCCGCCTGTCTCCAGCTCACCCCGAGAGTCCCCTAGAAAGGAAAGAGGGGACTTGGGTGTCCCTGATCCCCTATCGGTGGCGCCAGCCAGCTGGATTCTAATTAGCTGCCAGAGCGGAGAGACAGGAAGCAGAGGCTAGGGGCGGGGCTGGATCCCTGCCCGAAGCCAAGGCTGAAATCAAATTGGACACCCCTTGCCCTCCTTGAGGGATGAAGGTCTTGGTGGTGGAGAGGAGTGGGTGGGGCAGGGTTTAGGGGTGAGGGCTGAAGCAGCTTTGGTGTGGGTGGGTGCATGGCAGCCATGCTGACCTGTCAAGCTGCCCCCGGGGAGGTTGGAGAAGAGGGACCAGAGCTGGTTAGAGTGACCCCAGAACAGGGCAGTGTGCACCCCAGTCCAGGAAGCAGAAGACAGACTCCCACTGGGCTTGCTGAGGTCAGCTCCTGCCCCATGTCACTCCGCTGTCCTCCCTCAGGCTGGTGGGCCAGGCCGTGGCACCCTGGTGATGCGGGGCGAGGCCCCCCCCACAGTCCGCTGAGAGCCCTGCCCCCGCCCCTGGCCTTCGCCATGGCCCGCTTGGCCGCAGCACTCTGGAGCCTCTGTGTCACCACTGTCCTCGTCACCTCTGCTACCCAAGGTAGGTGCTGGCTGGGCTGGGGAAGGGCTGGGTCTCCAAACCCAGATGGAAGGTGGGAAACATGAATTCTCTGGACCACAGCCTCCACTCCAGATGAAGCTGGACCAGGCCAGAGGGAACCTGGTGATGCCACCCTTGGTGTTGAACTCCCAGCAGGCCAGTGCACTGGGTGCTGTCTTGCTTGGGGACCCCTAGGACTAAGACAGGCCTTCCGGGGGGCAGCTATTTCTCTCTATCTCTCCCTCCCCCCCGTCATTCATCACATCTCTGAGGCTCACTGGGACCAAGGCTTAATTAAAGCATGCCTGCTGACGTTTATTTAAAAACAACTAATTACCCAGCTCCGGCCTGGGATCCTGCACATGCCACAATTAGTGCCCTGAGCCTGCTGCCCACTGTTGACATTACCTAGTTACCATCCCCAGGTTGGGCACCAGCTGTGTGCAGGACAACAGAAGCTAAGAAGGGGTCTGCTGGCCTGGCCCCTTCCTAGAGGGCTCCCCTCCCCACCTTGCCGGGCCCATCCTCTGGAGAGTCACTAGGATATTGTCAGCCTTGTTCTGAAGCCTTGGCAGGGTCCTGCTGGCCAGTGACCCAATCTTCCTAGTGCCCAAGTTCCAGGCCCAGCCCCTGCAGGCCAGGAGGGGCTGCCTCCACCCCCCGCCCCGTGTGAGCCAGCCCTCCACCCCCGGCCTCCCTCCCTGACAAGGGAAGCTAAAATTAGGGGAGGAAGCAGATGGTACGACAGGAGCACATGGGAAACTTTTTCTCAACTGGGGCTCTGCTCACCCCCAGAAACCCGAAGGCCTGGCTGCTAGAACCCCTGGGGACCCCGTCTCTGAAGAGGGGCTGACTTGGCTCTGCACCTTAGTACAAACACCTTTCACAGCACTTAGCTTACCCCCAGCTGTGGTCCTCCCCCAGACATCTGTAGCTTCTACCTTCCTGTACCCCGTGTGGCTGGGCTGCAACCAGGATCCCAAAGTGGTTGCCAGGGCAGCCTGGCACATGTCAACCCTGGATCCTGAGAAATACCCATAACAAAAAAATGAGCATCTCGTCAGCACATTAGTAGGCGTTAACTGTAGATTAACCTCTGCAGTAGCAGAGAGACCAGGGACCCAATAGGTGCCTTGGAGCCATCAGCCAGGCCAGGGAGCAGCAGAGCTGGGATTCAGAGCTATATTGTGTAGCTCTGATTGTCATAGGGGGTCCCCTCATGTGAAGCATGCTGCCACACCTGGGGATGGAGTGGGAGGATCAGGAGTTTAGGGCTAACCTTGGCTGCTTAGACTGTGAGACCACCTAACTATGTGTGATCCTGTCTCAGAAACCAAAACAGGCCGGGCGATGGTGGCGCATGCCTTTAATCCCAGCACTCAGGAGGCAGAGGCAGGTGGATCTCTGTGAGTTCGAGGCCAGCCTGGTCTACAGAGCAAGATCCAGGAAAGGCGCAAAGCTACACAGAGAAACCCTGTCTCGAAAAAAACAAAAAACAACAACAACAACAACAACAAAAAAACCCAAAACAGAAAGATTCCTTTGGTTTAGAATCCCTGCTGTCTGGTCCTGACCTGTGGGTGAGTGCCCATTTTACAGCTCAGGAAAACAAGGCCTGGGAAAGCTACTACCAGTAGTTATCTGAACTTAAGCATGCAAAAGTTAGACATGGTGGCACATGCTTGTAACCTCAGAATTTGGGGGAGGCTGAGGCAAGAGGACACCAAGTTTCAAGCCAGGCTGGGCTACACAGCAAGACCCTGCTCCCAGTAAACAAACAAAACAGGCAGGTATATAGAGCTCATGGTTGAATTGTTGCCTGGGTTCCATCCACTCCTTGTGTGGTGTGTGGTGGTGGTAGGAGGTCCCCAGACCACTCCCACTTGTGACAAGGACTAGCAGCACCCACAGACGCTACTGTACTTAGGGACAGCTTTTTCCAATGGGAAGACAGATTCAGCCCAGTCTGGTGAAGGTGTTTGACATGGAAAAGTAAAGTTCTGTGCGGTTCTGCTATGACAGTATGTCCTGGTGTCCCCAGTCTCAGCAGAAGTCCCATCATAGACTTGATTGATGGCCTTCATGGCAGCCACCCCCCCCTGCAGAGGCCCTAAGTCCTGTCGTCAGGGCTTGTCTGCTAAAACTGCCACAGCCTTTGCCCCACCAGTGAGGAAAACAAAGGCCCACCATCATGGCACCAACCCAGCTGGCTCCTGCCGAGGTCTCCTCGGCCTGCTGGGGTGCCCTCCCCCTACGTCTGTGCACAGTCTACCTGGATGACACTGTGTCGGACCCCCTCTGTAGTGCAGAGTGATGGCCCAGCCCCAGTGTCCTAGCTGTTCAGGAGGCTGAAGCAGGACCACAGTTCCAAGGACAACCTAAGCCAGTCAGTAAGATGCCGTCTCAGAAGGAAAGGTGTGGTAGAGCACTTCCCGAAGGTGTGTGTAGCCTTAGCTCTGTTACTAGTATTGCAATAATAACAATAAAATATACCCTAAATGCTCCCTTTTGTTAGGACCCTAGCCAGACTGCATCGAGGCCCTTTGACCCCTCATTTTTCAATTGATTTCCACTGTAAAAAAAAAAAAAAAAGTCATCTCCAAGGCAGATGTGGTTGTGCACACCTCTCACCCCAGCGCTCGTGAGGCTGGGGCAGGGAGGAAGATCATTGTAGGGTTGTGGCCAGCCTAGGCTACCTAGTGAGTTCAAGGTCAGCATAGGCTACACTGAGACCTTCAGAGGAGGAAAATTTGTGTGTGTGCGCTGGGTGTGTTGGCGCGTGACTATAGTCCTAGGGAGGTAGATGCAGGAGAATCAGTTCAAGGCTATGTTGCAAGTTTGAGGCTAGCCTAGGCCACATGAGACCCTTGCCTTAGTTGGGGGTTGGGAGAGAAAAAATCCAAAAGACACTATCTCCAAGTACAGTCACTTGTGAAGTACTGGAGCTTAGTTCTTCAATTCAGCATAAGATTTTGGGGGACAGGGCTAGTGAGATAGCTCAGGGGAGCTAAGGTGTTTGCCACCAAGCCTGTCCTGAGTTTAGTCACCACTGTCATTGGCAAAAGGTACAAGTGACCTCCACATGCCCACCCTCAAACAGACAAAATAAATGTAGAAGGTTGCTTTGAAAGGAGTTGGGGTTCCACAGTTGTGACTGGCCCACAACATCCAGGGTGGTATCACTCTTACCAGCAAGGCATTCGTTACAGGATGAAGAAGGGTCAGCTCTCTCTGAGCCAGGCTACTCCTTCCTCCACAGGGCTTAAAACTCTGTGCCACTGTATAGCCGAGTAGGCCTGAAAATCCCATAACCAGCTTCCCAGGCTGGCTAAGCCAGCAGGTCTTTTCTTCCCTGGTGACTGTGACACTGTCCCCGACTGTTCTGCAGGCCTGAGTCGTGCCGGGCTCCCATTTGGATTGATGCGCCGGGAGTTAGCATGTGAAGGCTACCCCATCGAGCTGCGGTGCCCAGGCAGCGACGTCATCATGGTGGAGAATGCTAACTACGGGCGCACGGATGACAAGATCTGCGATGCCGACCCTTTCCAGATGGAGAATGTGCAGTGCTACCTGCCCGACGCCTTCAAAATTATGTCACAGAGGTGAGCCTGCTCCAGTTCCACAGGCCTCACATCGGCCCCTGTACACAGACAGCAAAGCGAGACTGAGCTACTCCCACGGACAGTGTCCCCCAACTCACTCACCCCCAGAGAGCAGTGGTTCTCCATCTTCCTGATGTTGCGACCCTGTAATACAGTTCCTCGGGTTGTGGTGACCCCCAACCATAAAATTATTTTGTTGCTACTTCATAACTGTGATTTTGCTGTTATGAGTTGTAATGTAAATGTCTGACATGCACACCCCCTCTTGGGGTCGCAGCCCATGGGTTGAGAACCACTGCCATAGACCTTGCTCATCCCTCTGCTACCTCCAGAGACTTATTCAAGACTGTTGGTGGCAGGTGGGAGCTTGCAGAATCAAAGCAAAGGTATGCTTCCCAAAGAGAGACAGCTACTCATAACTTACAGAAGTGTGTGTGTGTGTCTGTCTGTCTGTGGCAAGGCGCTTTGGTGTGCTTTGGTGTGCAAAGTTGTCCTTGTGCATGTTGCGCGTATATAACTGTACAGAGGGTGATTTCGTGTCTGAATATGTGTGTCTCTGAGCAGCTGTGGGTGTGAATAAGGGTGTACTTGTGTGACTAAGGAGGTGTCCCAGGCTGGGGCAGCCCACATAGGAAGCTGCATAACCCACTCGAATAGTCTGTCTAGAGCCTTCAGTTTCCCCACAAGCACCCCTCCGTGGCACAGGGCCCCTGCCTGCTCTCCTTGCCTCCACCTTGTCCCTTATAGTCCATTCTTCCTACATGGCAGGCATCAGTGAACACCTGAGTCAGATCCTTTCCCTCTGTTAGAACATTCTCAGGTTCCCACCTTCTTGTGAAAGCCAAAGCCTTCCTGAGGCTAGACCTGCCTGTGTGACCTGCCTTGACAACTGGCCCTCGTTTCCTGTGGGCTCAGTTCCAGCCTTGCAAGGCAGCTCGCTGTGGAGTGTTGCCTGGGTTCAGTCCTTATACCGTAGATACTTGAGCATGCATCAGAATCTGCATCCTGGTAGCCCAAAGGCTCCCAGTCTCCGGTTCTGCTCTGTCACACCCTGATAGGGTCTGTGGGCCACAGCTAAGTGGCAAAGCCAACCTCTGGGTTTTTCTAGAAACATGAGCCTATCCCTACATTCCTTCTGCCTTAAATGCTGTCCCTGGATCCAAGTAGCTGTTCTTATACTTCTTTGTGGCTGTCTACCTAACTTTCACACGCTCTGAAATTGCAGCCCCTCCCTCCTCCTGACCCCTTCAGGGCCCTGCCTTCCATCCACATTTTCATCCGATATTTTGTGCTTGGTATTTTATCCTGTGTCCTCCCGAACCCTAACCCATTGGCCCTACAGGAACAACAAGCCTTTGTCCCTCACCACTGTGGCTATAGCCAGGTCTACAGCAGGCATTCACTGGATGTTTGATGCCTGAGAGGTCAGAGTTCAGGGCCCGCTCCCTGGCCTGTAGCATGGGAGGAGGAAGGGGAGGAAGGCTGGGCCAGAGGAAGGGAAGGCAAGAGCTTCATAGGACATCGGGGAGGCAGGGTGATTCAAAGTGTGCAGGGCCAGAGCTGCCTTGCCTCCTTCCTCCATTTCTCCTGACACCTCATCCAGCCTTCCAGCCCTGACAGGCCCCACCCCCTTCCTTGGTCCCACAGTCTCCACAGCAGCTAAAACAGTCATGTCTGCACACCTCTACACAGGAGGCTGTGTGTGCAGTTGCTGGGCCAGGGAGCGAGATGAGACCTCAGGAGCCTTGTGGGGAAGGGCTTGGGGGCCCTTAGCCCTGCTGCTTCTCCTAATGCTCCCAGTCTTGAAGCGCTCTGTGTCTATCAGGGTCACAGCTAAGCTGCTGGTGACAGATACCACCACTGGGTAGTTGTCCCCAACCTTCGCTGGACTTAGTGTTTCCACCTCCTTCAAATCCCACCCCTTAAAGACAGATGCCACGCCTACAGCTCCAGAGGAGTCGGGGTACAAAGCTAGGGTGCTGAGGGCCTTGCACATTCTAGATGAGCACTCTGCTACTGGACCACACTCATCCCTGAAATTAGTGACATTTTGTGCATTTACCAGCTCAGCTTAGTTGCAGAGCATTCCATCACTCCAAAAGGAGACTCCATAATCTTCACAATCTCCTGTTGTCCTGCTCTGTGTTCTCTTCCCAGAGGTTTGCCTAGACTCTTTCTCCATGCCCACCAGTCTGCCCTGTGCAGCCTTTTCATACACTTGTTACATTGTGGGTCAGCCACCATGTCCTTTTTCCTGGCCAGATAGCGTTCCATCACGTGGGCAGGCCACATTTTACCAACATACCATCAGTATCTCAAAACAGACCACGTTTTGTTCTGCCATTCCTCCATGGGCAGACTTTTGGGTTCTCTCCCCCTGTTGGTGGATGTGGGCAATGCAGCAGTGAACATGTGTGTTCAGTAATTGTTCACACTTGCTATAAATTCTAGGGCACATTGGTGAGGACCAGGATTGCTGAGTTGCATGAGGCCCCTGTGTGGTTTTTTGTTTGTTTGTTGTGGTGATTGGTTTTGGTTTTGGTTTTGGTTTTTTTGAGACAGGGTTTCTCTGTGTTAGCCCTGGCTGTCCTGGAACTCTGTAGACCAGGCTGGCCTCGAACTCACAGATCCGCCTGCCTGTTTACTCCCAGCCTCCTGCTGTTTTCCTCTTTGCACTTCCTGGTCCCGGGAAGAACTGGAGGCAGATTCAAGGTACTTACCACTTGTCCACACCTTATCTGCCATTCCAAGGACCTGGGATAATGTTGGCTGCATTTCTTGTCTCTGATCGTGACCGAACACTTGATAGAAACAATGTAGGGAGGAAGGGTTCATTTTGGCTCTTGGTTTCAGAGTTCCGTCCATTGCAGCAGGAGTGTGCGTGTGTGTGTGCGTGTGTGCGCGCGTGTGTGTGTGTGTGTGTGTGTGTGTGTGTGTGTACGCACGTACGTGTGTGGCATGCCAGGGCTCTTCACATCGTGGCTGCCGGGAAGCACAGAGGGAACTGTGGGCACTCTGCTGCCTCTCTCCTCCCTCACTTTTCTTACATTAGTCTAGACCCACGTGTGGGGTGGATCTGTTTGCCTGGTTAATCCCCTCTAGCAGTACCCTCACAGACGTACCTTGAAGCGTACCTAACCAGTCTCCTAGGCAATTCTAAACCCAGGCTAGCTGACAGAGAGGACGAACCATTGCAGGCACCTTGACTGGACACAGGCAGCTGTAGGAATCTGAAGGAGTGGACAGGCAGGTGACTAGAGCTGAAGATGCTCCTGCAGGTGGGTACAGGCTGTGGGGTAGGAGAGCAGCCACCAAATGGGAACAAGTGTCTCTGATGGTGTCTTCTGGTTGTAAAATAGACCTCGTTTTCCATACTAGCCAGACCCCTGAGAGGCTAGCAGGGGCTTGGGGTCAGGGGACCCCCATGGATTCTTCCTGACTGTGCTGCTGCAGGTTCAGTCAGTGTCCAGAGTGTGGCAGTGTCCATGGAAGAGCCAAGGTAGACACAACAGGCACTCAGTCTTCTGTGAAGGTGCCCGTCACATGTGATACTGTGTGTTTTTAGTGACTGGCACGGGGGCTTTTAATTCAATTTAAAGGAAAATGCCAAAGATGTACCGGGAAGACCCTGCCTCACAACTGTGGAGGGCTGTGGGAAAGAAAACAGGCAGGAAGCAAAATAGACCCCACCCCACCTGTCCCCACACATTCCGGCCTGGAGCTGTGCGCTCGCTTCTGACCTGGAGCCTTCTGGGTCTGAGTCAATTTTCCTGTCCCTGTAGGTGCAATAACCGAACCCAGTGTGTGGTGGTGGCCGGCTCCGACGCCTTTCCTGACCCCTGTCCTGGAACCTACAAGTACCTGGAGGTGCAGTACGACTGTGTCCCCTACAGTGAGTCACCTTGTTCCTCATGCTCGGGCCCTTCCCCCACAGAGCAAGGAGCCTGGTGCATCTTGATCCAGCACACATGTGCACACGTGTGCACACATCCATGGGGCTGGGCACAGAAGCTAGCAAGCTCACTCCCACTTTTGACACATATTTTTCACAGACACTTGCCACATTTGGTGGCTGCTTTCCCACACAGATGTGTCCCTCCTGTAGGGCATCTTCAGTTCTAGTCACCTGCCCGTTCCTGCTCCTTCACATGTCCTTCACTTGCTCAAGCCCTTCGCAGCCACACACCTACAGCATGCTGGCCCCTCTCTCTGGCCCTCCAGCTGCTCTCCCACCCTCCTGTTTCACACGCTTTCTCCTCCTGACCATGGACACACCTGACTTTCTCCACACACCCCCTCCTGCCCCTTCCACATCATGAAAGCCAAAGCTTTCATCTTCCAAGGTTCCTAACTATTGGTTGCTTTATCGCTTACCCTGAGAACACTTCCTATCTGCAAAGGAAGTACTGCCATGTTGGAATGACAGTGCCCCCAAGAAGATGATTTTGGGGAGCCAAGAGCCTGACTCCTACATCTGACTGAGGGGGGCAGATAGACAGGGTTGCTCATCCTCAGCACCTGCCCCTGGCATCACCAGTCTTCCTGCCCACTCTCTCCCTCCATCACCCCTCTGTCCTCTCACCTGCCTTCACATAGCCAGCCCGGAGGTAGGGAGGGCCTCTAGGCAAAAGGGGAGGAGGCAGGACCTTCGGGGTGTCCAAATGAGGGGGCAGGGGAGCAGGAGACCTCCTAACTCTGCCTCCTCTCCCCTCCTACCCAGCTTTCCCCGCCCCACCCCTCCAACCTTTGATTTTTCCTTGCAGGTGAAGCCAGGAGGACGGGCGGGCGAACAGGATCGCTCACTGCTTGTGTAACTTTCTCCTTTTAGTCTCCGCCCTTTCCTTTCAGTGCCTGAGGCCGCCTTCCACCGCCTGAGGGGGATGCCCGTCTGCTCCCCCGAAGCCTCCCCACAGCACTGGGGACACTGCCCATCCGCAGCTGGGGCAGCAGGGAGGGAGGTGGGAAGTGACGTGTGTCTAGGACAGAGGGCTGGGCAGGTGGCGTGAGGCTCAGCTGTGGCTCCTGACTTGTCTGGCTCTGAAACCTGCAGCAAATGACTTAAAATCTCTCCGGGTGCTGCAGACGGAGGCGTGAGTCCTGGAGACCGGGAGTGACAAGCACTCGGCCCTGCGGCCAGAGTGCTCCCAGGAGCACAGCCCCGAAGGCAGAGTCCGCGACTTCACCCCCCAGCACCCAGCCCCGAGCCTGGTTCAGGATGTGCTCAGTGATGGTACGGACGCTCCTTCCCGCCACCTGAGCCTCTTAACGCCTGTGATGGGGGAGGGGTGCTTCGAGAAATAGCGACAGCATGGGACCCAAGCTGCTTTGTGCCCCGGGCCATAGGTTCTAAGGGAGTGGCAGCTGCATGGCCCCCTCTGTGTGGCTTCACTTCTCTGAACCTCAGTTTCCCCAGCTGTAGACAGGGTCCTGGAAGGCCTGGCTGCAAGGGCCTGCACTGTTCCCGCGCCTTCATGAGCACTGGTTGCTGTCACTGTGACTACACTTCACTTCTAACCAGTTACGATTAATGTCATGGTCACTGGAATAGCAACATATAATGAACACAATTCTCTAGAACAGACAGGACGCGAGGCTGGAAAAGTTCCTGGTCCAGGTTCAAAGGTCAAACCAAGATACGAGAAAAAAGAAGAGGCCACAGATCCTTAGATGGAGCGTAGAGACCTAGAGCCCTGGGCCCCCTTGTGTGGTCCAGGAGCACAACCCAGAAAGATGGGCTTTGGGGTTGAAGTGGTGCAGGGCAGGGATGCCAGCTTTAGACTGAGGAGAACGCAGACCTGAGCCTTGCAGACTGCACCCATGCCCATGCCCATGCACAGGGTGGAGGTCATGGACAGGGCGAGCCACAGGTGCTCCTGGTCAGGCAAGAGCTAGTCAGCCCAGGTAAACCATCTCCTGGCCCCCCAGATAATCGGGGTTCAGGAATAACTAAAGCTAAGAAGAACCCAGACACATGATGCTTCATGACTTTCCCTGAGCATATCCTGAGTGCTGGGTCCTGGACAAGGCGCTGGGGGGCCAGAGTCCCTGCAGAACCCAAGCAGGGTGCCTGGAGGGTCTGGTCAGCCACAGGGCCCTGGGCTTTAGAGGCTGGGGTGACCCCAGTGCTGGTGAAGGGGGGCAGGGTGGGGGGCAGGGATCCCACAGTTGGGGGATCACTGGAGTGTGGAAACCCCAGACATTGGACTAACACTGGATTTGCTTTGCAGCTGAGCACAGCCTAACTCTCCCTTCCTCCCCAGGTGCCACCCGTGCGTCATCAAGGGCGGTGGGCAGGGCAGGGTGCAGCTAGGGCTCCTGGGCCCTTGGTGGATTGGGCAGAGCAGCTGAACCTTGAGCCTTCCCCCCCCCCCCCCCCCCGGGAGTGTAGGAGCCTGTCTGCCACAATCTGTCCAGCCCAGTCTGTGTCCCCTCCAGTTCTGTGCCTCTTGTCTCCCCTACCCTGGCTCTGTCCGAGGCCAGGGGCGCCTGCCTGCCTGCCTCTGTTGTTCTGTGTCTGGCTCTACTGCCCTCTCTGTGCGTTTCAGGGGTCCGGAGGGCTTAGGGGAACACAGCTGGACTCAGGTGGGGCCTATTCAGAGGGGAAGGGGCTCAGCCTGTGCTCTCGGCTGGGAGGGGTACTCAGGCCCCAGAGACACTAAATCCCTCCCCTCAGCCCCTGGTTCTAGCAGGGGGTTAGCACACAGGGTGGAGAGGAGCCCTGCGGTTCCTATATCCCCACTGCCTGGTGTCACCCGAGCCAGAGTTCAACTCCTAGCTGGGGCTCCTCTACACCGGGGCCCTCCCGCCTGAGGGTCCTGTCGACCTGCCTGTCTGTACCATAGCAGTCTTTTCGTCTCTTCCCTCCCGTGTGTCTCCCCTGCCCCTTCTCACTGTCTCCTCAGCACCCTCTTACCCAACCCCACCCCCAGAAAAAGGGACTTGGGGGTGGGGGCTGAGATGATGCTACGGAAGGGGTTGGGAAAGCGGAGGAAAGGCAGGAAGAGGGGGCGTGTGGCCAGAAAAGAAACGAAAGCGATTTAATCTTTTTTTTCTCTTTTTTTTCTTGCACATTTTTTTCAATTTGTTTTCTCTCTCTCTTCCGATGCTTAAAGTAGAAGTGGAGCAGAAAGGTAAACGCACTGTCACCACCACTGCCGACCCCAACTCACACTTCGTCCACTGTCCATACTCATGTGGCCCGCCCGCCCCCCCCCCCCTTCTTCTCCCCCCCCACTCGGTCCAGGGATCCCTGCCCCGGTGTCCCCCCAGCACAGCTGGGCTGGGCCTGGTGCTGCAGCACCACCAAGGCCAAGGTCACGGCCATGGGCTTCTCCACCCTCCAGATACTCACCGAAGCTCCTCTCTGAGCCTGGGCAAGAGACTCACCCCACTCCTCCACCTCTCTCTCTCTCTCTCTCTCTCTCTCTCTCTCGCTCTCGCTCTCGCTCTCGCTCTCGCTCTCGCTCTCTCGCTCTCTCGCTCTCTCGCTCTCTCTCTCTCTTCACTTCTCTCTCTACCTCTTCTGGTCCCTGGTCCCTGCAGGGCACCTGACCTCATCTCTCATTTCTTTTGCCTTCCTTAGGAGAAATGTGTAAGCATCCAGGCGGGTGGGGAGGGAGGGACTCCCCAGCTTCCACAGGCACCGCTAGAGGCCTCTCTGTCTCTCCTGCCCTCCTCCCTCTTACTCTCTCCCTCCTCTCTCTCCTTTCCTGTCCCCTTGTACCTTTTGCCAAGTGTTTCTGGTAGAGGGTGGTGGGATGGAGGGAACTCTTTCCTTTGGGGACCAGATTTCTCCTCTCTCTCTGGCTCCTGGTGGCCTCAGTTCCTCTGGTTTGGCGTTTCCAAGGCCCAGAGCTGTTATGGAGCACAGAGAACAAGTCTCCACCCTCCACCCTTTCTGACCAGCCGGGTCCAGTCCTGGGGAGGGTTGTCAGCCATCCCAAGCCCCTGGGAGGGGGCAGCCTGCCAAAGCCCTGGGGTGGGTTGGGGGCGGGCCTCCTGGAGAGGGTGGGAGTGGGTTCTGTCTCGGCACACTTGCAAAGCTGCAGTCAGGGTTTCTTCCGGGCTGATGTGGGAGAGGACCAGGGAGGGGTGGCGGGGGTCACAGACTTGCTCTGGGGACTTCCACAGGCCCCGTAATTTCTTGCAGGGAGCCCCATGGTAGTAGGTGTGGCTGTCTGTTATGGGCTAGGGAGTGGAGGGTGCCTGGCTAGTGGTAAGGCAGGAGGCAATGGACGAACAATGACATGGCCTTCAGGGTCCCTTTCACCTTGAAATTACGGTGGTCTGTGGAGGGCCCCTGCCGGGGAGGTGGGCGGGGTCCCTCTGAGCTGCTCCCCTCCCTCTCCTTCCCGCCTTGCCCATCTCAGAGGCCTGGGCAGCCTCTCCCTTGCTCTCCTCAGTCAGCCCTGCACTAGCCACTCTTCTTGCAGGCTTGGAACTCCGGCACTGGATCTCCTCTCTGGGTCGGGCTGGGGGAGGGAAGAGATGTTGGGAGCTGGGTGCTGAGGTGGGGTCCTTGCTGCCCAAGGCCCCTAGCAGACTCTTCCTTATCTCTTCCCCTTCCTTGGGATGACCTCTAACTGTGTTTTTCCTCCCTGGTACCCTCTGACCAGCTCAGGCCCTCTTTATGAGCACACACCCCTGGCAGGGGTTTTTATGGGGTAGAGGGACCTGGGGAACAGAAAAAAAGGGTGGGGGCCAGGTAGTCTGGTCAGAGGGTACAGACATAACTGATGGGAATGCCAGGGCTAGAGCCCAGGGTTAACTCATGCTAAAGAGGCTGTGTTGCTGACGCCTTGGGCCTAGGGACCTAAAGCCAAGCTGCCCTAGTGCGGGGGTGGGGGGGGCTGGCTACAGATTGCTCCCCTCTTCTAACCAAGTTAGCCTGCTGATGAGCCAGGCTAGAAATAGGCACTAGGCCTGGCTCCTACCCAGAGGTCCCTCACTACTGAAGCTGCCCACCATGCTGGTGCCAAGTCGTCGCAGCCCTCCCTGTGCCCCTGGGGCTAGCTGCTTTGGTGATGGACCAAGCAGGAGCAGAGAATTCACCATAGACCCACAAACACACATCCTACAGCCCTGGCCTGCCTGTGGGTTCTATCATGGAGAAATGAGAGGGAGGTGCCAGCCCTCCTGAAGGGAAGGTTGTCTGTCCCACAGTGCTCAGGGAAGAAGAGAGGGTGGGCCACACTGACCTGCTGGATCACTAGGGTAGGCTAGGAACAGGTGGTGCTGGGCTGTGAGGGGCAAGGGTGGGCAGGCCAGTGGTGCCAACGAGATGCAGTTGAGGTTTTCCTCTTTTCAGGGAATGGGGGGGTGGGGCGGGGCCCCCCACCTTTCTGACATCAGCGCTGCCTTGGTCCCTCCTCCCGAGCCGGGGATGGTCACAGGTAAATCGGGGTCCGGGGCAGGGGAGGTGGGGGGCTGGCTGGGGTGGGCTGGGGCTTTATCCTAGCACCTGGTTCCCTCCCTTGCCCCCTCCGAGCTGGACCTGGGACTGCCCCTGGAAGGGGCTCTCAGTCGGGCCTGGGCCTTGGAGTGAATTCTCTGCTCACCCCCTCTCTCCTTGCCAGCACTAACCCTCTCTTCCCAGGTGGTCTCCAGAACGTCTCCTTTGGAGCCAGGACTTGTGGACACACACAACCCTCCTTGTCTCTCTTCCCTCTGCGCAGCTCCCTCACCCCAAATGTCCCGGGAGTCCTGTCTTTCTCCATGTCCCCACTCCACCCTTGTACACCAGTGTCCATGTGCGCTTCTGAACCTGACCCCACCAGAGACCCTGCCGGCTGGGGCAGAGCTGGACTTCTCCCTAGCCTAACCTGGGAGCTGCTTCCCTCCATTTTTTCCTCCGCTGCCTACTTGACGGGTACCAGCTGAGGGGAGCTCAGACAGCAGCAGGGACCTGAGGAGAGAATAGACAGCTCTAAGCCTCCCTGCCAGAGTGGGTGTGGAAACATCACTCTACCTTGCAGCTTTTGGAGGAAGAAAGTGAAGTTTTTTTAAAAAGTCCATCCCTGCATGGTTGGTGAAGGATGGGATCCCAGCCCCTAGTTCTTCCACAGAGGGAGAGAAGGGAGGCCAGCCAGGGTGCTGATACCTGAACCTTGAGGCTAGCTTGCACTGCAACAGGGGTCCCCACCTCCTACCCCCTGGAGCCCAGTCTAGGAGAGCTCTGGCCGAATCCTTTGTCCCCAGCCTGTGGGGTCTCTAGCAGCCAAGGAAGGGAAGAGAGCACCACCTCCCCACACTAACCCTGCTCTTGATGGTCTCCAGGGGTCACAGCTCCAGGGAGAGGGGCAGCTGGGCAGGGCGGGACTCCCCGCCCACAAACCCCCTTCCCATCACCAGCCCGACCAAGCAACCATGACTGCAGCAGCAGGAGGGGGACAGCATGGTTTCCTCCCCTCGCCATGTGACCAACTTGCCTCTCTCTCCCCTCTCTCCTTGCCTCTGCCCCTCCCCACCTCCTCCCTGCCTACCTACCCACCCGGCCCAGTCTTCGTGTGCCCAGGGACACTGCAGAAGGTACTGGAGCCCACCTCCACGCATGAGTCAGAGCACCAGTCTGGTGCATGGTGCAAGGACCCGCTGCAGGCAGGTGACCGTATCTACGTCATGCCCTGGATACCCTACCGCACGGACACACTGACTGAATATGCCTCATGGGAGGACTATGTGGCTGCACGCCACACTACCACATACCGACTGCCCAACCGTGTGGATGGCACCGGCTTTGTAGTCTACGATGGCGCGGTCTTCTACAACAAGGAGCGCACGCGCAACATCGTCAAGTATGACCTGCGGACCCGCATCAAGAGCGGTGAGACAGTCATCAACACAGCCAACTACCATGACACCTCGCCTTATCGCTGGGGAGGCAAGACCGACATTGACCTGGCGGTGGATGAGAATGGGCTATGGGTCATTTATGCCACCGAGGGCAACAACGGGCGCCTGGTGGTGAGCCAGCTCAACCCCTACACGCTACGCTTCGAGGGCACATGGGAAACGGGCTACGATAAGCGCTCGGCCTCCAACGCCTTCATGGTATGCGGAGTCCTTTATGTGCTGCGCTCCGTGTATGTGGATGACGACAGTGAGGCGGCGGGCAACCGCGTGGACTACGCCTTCAACACCAATGCAAACCGCGAGGAGCCAGTCAGTCTCGCTTTCCCCAACCCCTACCAGTTTGTGTCCTCCGTCGACTACAACCCCCGGGACAACCAGCTGTACGTGTGGAACAACTATTTTGTGGTGCGCTACAGCCTGGAGTTTGGACCCCCAGACCCCAGTGCTGGTGAGGATGGGTTTTGAGGGGTGCGGGCCTCTTAGCATCTGTCACTCCTTGACACCAGAATGCAGGCTCACTGTGCGCTGCTGAGGATTGGAGGTAAAGCGAGTCATGGCTCGGGGCACACGCTGTCCTCATCACCGTTGCTCCTGCGGGGTGTGCCTGTCGTCCTCGGGGCACACGCTGTCCTCATCGCCGTTGCTCCTGCGCGGTGTGCCTGTCGTCCTCGGGGCATGAGGTTCATCGCACTGTTTTACAGGCGAAACCCGTGCACTGCGCGGCTGAGGGATTATCTTACTTGAGGATTGAACCCCAGGATTCTGGGCTCTACCCAGTGACCTGTGCTGCCTGGGCACAGTAGTTTGGGGTAGTTTAGGGGGATGCAGAATCAGACACTTGCTGTGTTCTCATTTTAACTCCAGCTGATGTTCCCATCACTAACCTAGAGCATCCCCAGAACTCTGGAGAGCCTTAGCCAACCGTTACAGAAGGGGAGTTGGGCACCCAGGTTCCAGACCCCACAATCAAGTGTGTCACAGATGAGAGGTGATTACATCCAGACACTTTGACACACATGTCCAGTCCCAGTTCTGGGAGAGACACCTTCTGGTGCATAGTAGTACATTTTTTACCCTCTTCCGAGTATATGGTCTGATGAACGTAGCGTGCCTCTGAGCACAGAAAGGCCAGGGACCCAGGACAGCTTTCCAATTCAATGGATAAGGAGGCTATCAAGGTGCCAAAGGACCCTGTGCTTAGGCACATTGGTGGGTCTTAGGCATGGGTGTGACCCTGTCCTATCCCTTTTACCTTCTAGGCCCAGCCACTTCCCCACCTCTCAGTACCACCACCACAGCTCGGCCCACACCCCTCACCAGCACAGCCTCGCCTGCAGCTACCACCCCACTCCGTCGGGCACCCCTCACCACACACCCAGTGGGTGCCATTAACCAGCTGGGACCTGACCTGCCTCCAGCCACAGCCCCAGCACCCAGCACCCGGCGGCCTCCAGCTCCCAATCTGCATGTGTCTCCTGAGCTCTTCTGTGAACCCCGAGAGGTCCGGCGGGTCCAGTGGCCAGCTACCCAACAGGGCATGCTGGTGGAGAGGCCTTGCCCCAAGGGAACTCGAGGTGAGTGCTGGGAGACACACAGCTTAGCTATACAGGTGCTATCTGCGGCCTAGCACCCAGGGAGCTGCAGGTAATCCGGCCACCTGCGTCAGACTAAAGTGGCAAAGCCAGTTTCGGGACAGATGTGGGACAGCTAAGCAGCCCAGGTACCCTGGGGGTTCCAGGCAAGGTTGGAAGAAGCTTAGTGGAGAAAACCTTCCATAGTGGATCTTGCCTAGGAGGTTCTAACTCTGCGAGGCTAGGGTGGACTGCCTTGTGCCTTTTCCCAAGTGTCCCTCTCCTTCTCATCCTCTGCTCTGTCTCCTCCCTCCTTCCTTGGCCTCTCTTCGTCTCCTTCTCTTTGACTTTCTTATCTGTCTCTACAGGAATTGCCTCATTCCAGTGTCTCCCTGCTCTGGGACTCTGGAACCCTCGGGGCCCTGACCTCAGCAACTGCACCTCTCCCTGGGTCAACCAAGTAGCCCAGAAGGTACCAGTAACTGCTGCCCTTACAGGCAGCCATCCCGTGCCCCCGGTCAGCAGTGGAGGAAAGAGCTTGGGAGACACAAGGGGTCTCCTGTTACCTAACCCTTGCGTGGGAGGGGGCCAGCAGAGGGAGAGGGCCTAGGCAGGTGGGGTGTGTGAAAAGGGAATGGAGGGCAGGGCCGGCCAGTGCCCAGTAGACCTGAGGCCCTGGCCTCCCTGCCTCATACAGATTAAGAGCGGGGAGAACGCAGCCAACATCGCTAGTGAGCTGGCTCGTCACACCCGGGGCTCCATCTACGCTGGGGACGTGTCCTCGTCAGTGAAGCTGATGGAACAGCTCTTGGACATCCTGGATGCCCAGCTCCAGGCCCTCCGGCCCATTGAGCGCGAGTCAGCTGGCAAGAACTACAATAAGGTAGGCACCTGCACCTGCTGCCACCCCACAGTGGCCAGTGAGGGACACCACACCCCAGGGGCTGCTGGGCTTCACTGCTGCGCTTCCTTGAGTAGTCCTCAGAGGTGGGGTTCCTCTGGGGGAGAGAGCACTGTGGCGGGGAGCAGTCTTGGAGTCCCCACCTGTCTCCCTCCATCTCTGTCTCTAGATGCACAAACGAGAGAGGACCTGCAAGGACTATATCAAGGTGAGCTCAGTGGGATACAGCTTGTGGGAGTGAGGGGATGGGAGAGGAGAGGACATCAAGACTGTCCCAGGGAACTCAAGAATGTGGAGGACTCATGTGTATTGTCCCTGCTACACACAGGCTGTGGTAGAGACAGTAGACAACCTGCTCCGGCCAGAGGCCCTTGAGTCCTGGAAAGACATGAATGCCACAGAACAGGTGCACACAGCCACCATGCTCCTAGATGTCCTGGAGGAGGGGGCCTTCCTGCTGGCCGACAATGTCAGGGAACCCGCTCGCTTCTTGGCTGCCAAGCAGAACGTGGGTGAGTACCGCAGTCACCCCAGGACCAATCCCAAACTATGAGTATGTTGGTTCCCCGATTCCTGGGCCTGTGATTTTGCTGCAGGCCTCATGGTATAGCATGAATCCTGTCTGGGGATAGACACTGATAGCATGCCCTTTCTGCCCCTGCCCCCACAGTCTTGGAGGTGACTGTCCTGAACACAGAGGGTCAAGTGCAAGAGTTGGTGTTCCCCCAGGAATACCCCAGCGAGAACTCTATCCAGCTGTCCGCCAACACCATCAAGCAGAATAGCCGCAATGGTCAGTGTCCCGTGGGGTTTGTCCGAAAGCATGTACACACTGCCCACTTGGCACCCTTGAGCTTGACTTTATGGAACACAACGGTGGTGTCTTTTAATTACAGTTTATCTGCCACTGGTATGGATATCCCAAAGCCCTGCGGAGGCCTGGGTTTGCAGAGGGGAGCCCTAGCTCTAGAAGTCATTGTGCCATTTGAGGCTGAGATTACAGAGAGGCTAGGGAATCTGCCCAGGGTCACACAGGAAGTAAAAGTGGGTCAGAGAGGCAGCCTGTATTGTATGTCCTGGCCACTGCTGGACAGTGGCCTTGTGGAAATGACTTCTGAGTTGCTGCTTCACCTGGGACACTGCCCACTCTCAGTGTGTCTGAGAGCCATGGAGCCCAGAGAGAAATGTGGTGCCTGAGGATAGCCACTCTTATCTCCCTGTGCCCATCTTCCTAAGGTGTGGTCAAGGTTGTCTTCATCCTCTACAACAACTTGGGCCTATTCTTGTCCACGGAGAATGCCACAGTGAAGCTGGCGGGCGAGGCAGGGACCGGTGGCCCTGGAGGTGCCTCCCTGGTGGTGAACTCACAGGTCATTGCAGCATCCATTAATAAGGAATCCAGCCGCGTCTTCCTCATGGACCCTGTCATCTTTACTGTGGCCCACTTGGAGGTGAGCTCAGGTGTACCCCTCCCTCCCTGGAGGTCCCAGCATCCTCTGTTTCTGGACTACATATCCCCCACCATGTGTTCACCCACCTGCGAGTAAGTTTCAGCTTTCCCTGCTTCAGCTTGGACCATATGTTCCATAGAGCTGGTGGTCACCTCGGGCCCTAGGCACTTGTCACACCTGTCACTGTCCCCGTAGCTGGTTTGAGGACAGGAATAGCACTTGACAGTCTTGACCACCCTGTCCCACCATATAACAGGCCAAGAACCACTTCAATGCAAACTGCTCCTTCTGGAACTACTCAGAGCGCTCCATGCTGGGCTACTGGTCAACCCAGGGCTGCCGCCTGGTGGAGTCCAATAAGACCCATACCACATGTGCCTGCAAGCCACCTCACCAACTTCGCAGTGCTCATGGCTCACCGAGAGATCGTAAGCTACCCGGCGCTCTGCGGCTCTGGGCGGGCCTGCTCGCTGCTGGCCTGGCTTTGCATGGCCTCCTAGAGAGCACACGGCAATGGGCGATGCCTACAAGGCCAGTTCGGGGGCTTGGGGGGCCCCCAGTCTTGCCTGGGGCATGAGGCCTTGCATCTGGCTCCCTCTGGTCCTGAGGCACTCTGGAGAAGCCATCTGTCATCTCTCCACAAGCCTTCCAGAGCATGAGGAGTTGAGGCCGCACTGTCCGCACAGGGGCGGGGGCCAGCTTGGTGGCCGGGTGGGGTAGCACTGGAGGGCCTTGTGGCCCACAGCCTTGCCTGGGTCCTTCGCTGCAGCTGTCACTAGCCAGGCCCTGAGTGTCTCCCTCCTGCTGTCCCCAGTACCAGGGCCGCATCAATGAGCTTCTACTGTCAGTCATCACCTGGGTTGGCATTGTCATCTCCCTGGTCTGTCTGGTCCATCTGCATCTCCACCTTCTGCTTCCTGCGTGGCCTGCAGACTGACCGCAACACCATCCACATAAAACCTCTGCATCAACCTCTTCCTTGCGGAAACTGCTCTTCCTGGTTGGGATAGACAAGACTCAGTATGAGGTGAGCCAGACTTGGGGCCGGGGCCAGGCAGCGGGAGGGGACCGCGCCACCGGTAAGAACCGCCTCTTACTGATGTGCTCTCCCAGGTCGCCTGCCCCATCTTTGCGGGCCTGCTGCACTACTTTTTCCTGGCCGCCTTCTCCTGGCTGTGCCTAGAAGGTGTGCACCTCTACCTGCTGCTGGTGGAGGTGTTTGAGAGCGAGTACTCACGCACCAAGTACTATTACCTGGGCGGCTACTGCTTCCCAGCCCTGGTGGTAGGCATCGCAGCCCGCCATTGACTACCGAAGCTATGGCACCGAGAAGGCGTGAGTGTCTCTGTTGTCCCCATGGTCTTCATCTGATTGGCTCTTGAGTGGCTGTCTTTCCTTGGGCCAGGGCTGGGGTGGCTAGCCTTCCAGGTATTTCTCCACTCTGATTGTGTTCCGTTTTAGCTGCTGGCTGAGAGTGGATAACTACTTCATCTGGAGCTTCATTGGGGCCCCGTCTCCTTTGTCATTGTGGTGAGTGGCACTCCAAGTACTGGGGTTCCTTGCATTCAGGCTGGTCCTAGACCCTAACCTTGGGCCCCTTGCCAGCTTTTCAAGGCACTAGTGTAGAAACTCTATCAGAACCAAGCAGAGAGGCCAGGGCATGGCTCAGGGGTGGACACTTTGCCCACTGTGCAAAAGGCCCTGGGTTCTAGCCCTAAAATCACACACACACACACACAGGCCTGAGCAGTAGCTAAAAAGACCAGGGTGACTGAGTCCACAGTCCCCAGCGCTGAGGCCAGTGCACCAGCAGCTGTGGTCCAAGCCCATTTCATGCCGAGCCGTGACCCTTGGCCTCACAGCGGTGACAGCAAATAGCAGACCCAGGTAGTGGGCACTTTGGGCCCCTGAAGAGGGAGTTGGAGCAGAAACTGAGCCCATGTGCTGTACTCCTACCCAGGTGAACCTGGTTATTCCTCATGGTGACCCTGCACAAGATGGTCCGCAGCTCATCAGTGCTCAAACCTGACTCCAGCCGCCTTGACAACATCAAGTGAGACCCTCACCCTGTGGCCCCTGAGGTCTCCCAGAGCACTATTCCCCACCGGTGCCGTGCAGTGGGGTTTTCAGCAGGAGGGTATTTATGCATGGTATAGGCCCTACTTAACAGGGTCAGGAAGTGCAGCAGTCCATCTGACCTGTGCTTTCAGGCCTGCAATTAAGATTCAGTGCAAGTCTGCTTGAGGGCATCTTGAAAAGCCGGCCACAAAGGGAGTTTGAGTGGACTGGAAATTTGGCCAAAGTGATAAAGTTGGCAGGGAATGAGCCATCACCTGGAGCCAACCCTCAGTGTCAACCAGCAGGCCTTCCCAAGGCCTCCCCAACCTTAGGCTAGGTCTTTCAGGCGGCACCGGAGGCCTAGGGGCTGGGCTGTCTTCCCTGGTGAGCACCATGACTGCCTGTCCCCCTGGCCACCAGGTCCTGGGCACTGGGTGCCATGCGCTGCTCTTCTTGCTGGGCCTCACCTGGGCCTTTGGCCTCCTCTTCATCAACAAGGAGTCAGTGGTCATGGCCTATCTCTTCACCACCTTCAACGCCTTCCAGGGGGTTTTCATCTTTGTCTTTCACTGCGCCTTACAGAAAAAGGTGAGGGGGCAGAGCTCTCCTTGGGGACAATCTGACCTGTCAGGGGAGGGAGGCCAGGATTGAAAGAGCTCGGTGTCCCCTGGGGCCTCTCGTCTAGTGTGTCCTCTGGTCACTCGCTTCTGTGGAACCATCTAAGTCTGATGGGGGGCTGGGGGATTCAGCCAGCAGTGAGAGTCTAGAAGTGAGGCAGCCTTATAAGGAGGTGGGAGTGCAGAGCAGGGGGCCTGCCAGACGTGAGGCCCAGCTCGGTGCAGACAACTGGAGCCACAGTGTTAAGATTCCCGCCTTAAACCGTTCTAGGAAGAACCGGGTTTTGTAATGATAGAAGGAATGGGTCCAGGGGAACCCTTGTCTGGCTTCAGATGCGTAGCACACACGGTGCACATACATACGTGCAGGCACAACGTCCATACACACACAAGGGCTGAGCATGTGGCTGAGGTGGTAGAATGCTTGCCTAGCATACATGAAGTCTGGGTTCCATCATCAGTATCAGGATTTGGGCATAGCGGTGCGAGCCTAGAATTCTAGCCCGCGGGAGCCGAGGGCAGGAGGGTCAGGAAGGTTCCCTGTACCTGTAGTACATGTTCCTTAAAGATGTGTTGAGTTGGAGAATGAAGAAATGAAGGAATGAGGAAGTGATGGCGGTGAGGAAAAGAGAATGGGCCAAAATGATAGCCTGAATGCCGGGCCCCCAGGGTGTGGATGGCGCAGGGTTCCTGTGGCCTGCCCGCTGACGGTCCCCCTCCGCAGGTGCACAAGGAGTACAGCAAGTGCCTACGTCACTCGTACTGCTGCATCCGCTCACCCGCCCGGGGGCTCGCACGGCTCCCTCATGACCTCCGCCATGCGGAGCAACACCCGATACTACACGGGGACCCAGGTACCCGGGAGGGGAGCATGTGCGAGCACGTCTCTCTGGGGCCAAGAACCTGGAGGGTGGGGTGTTCCTAGAGATCCCCTCATGTTTGGGCTGTGTCCCCAGAGCCGAATCCGGAGGATGTGGAACGATACCGTGAGGAAACAGACGGAGTCCTCCTTCATGGCAGGTGACATCAACAGCACTCCTACCCTGAACCGAGGTGAGGTCTCCCCTGGCCCAGGCTCCTCTCTCCAGAGCTGCTCGCCCCAAGTCTCTGGGCTGCCTTGTACCTCGAACCCTTCCTTCCCTTGGGCAGGTACCATTGGGGAATCACCTGCTGACCAACCCTGTGCTGCAGCCCCGTGGGGGCACTAGCCCGTACAATACACTCATCGCGGAGTCTGTGGGCTTCAATCCTTCCTCGCCCCCAGTCTTCAACTCCCCAGGTGAGGACGCTTGGGCCGGCTGGATGCCAGCCAGGGACGAGCAGAGTCCCAGGTCGGGAAGCCCAAGGGCAGGTCCGGAGGGGCCTCTGCTTAGCTCACACTTGTCCTCTCTTCTCTTGCTGACTGGCATCC